CTGGTGCTTTCAGTGGGTGTTGGAATTCCCCCATTTCCAGAGTTCCCCACAGCACAACAGGAGCCAGGCTACCACCTCGTAATCAATAGTGCTGTGTACATCTCAAATAGTAATCAAGAAAACAGCAGTAATTTCACTCACAAAGCCCTAGATGAGGCCTGTTTTCAGCTGCTTACATCACAGATGGGAAAAATGCCATCAGTCCTATCTCTCTCTCAGCCTGCGGCTAGCAGATACATTCTAGTACTCTAGTCTGAGATTTTAGTGCCCCAGCTGACTATCTCCTACTTTTTCCAGTGGGAGACTGCATCTGAGCCTGATCCAGCTCAGAGCCCTGGTGTTCTCCCTGTTCCTTACATGACGTTTCTGTTCGCTCAATTTCCTCTCATTCTGCCTAGTTTTACACACCCTTGCACTTCCACAACCATTTCTTTCCAAGGGCAAGAGGCTTGTACTCTTCAAACACATGTAGACAGACTCTTCCATTCTTTGGATTTTTAACTCCCCAGGATCCACCAAACTCCCAATGAAGACTGAGCCATGGTAGAAAAGACATGGCTTGGGACCATTCCCACCCACTGCATGCTCAGTCAAAGTTGAGATTCAGTGAAATTCACCCCCAAGTGGGATTAGAGGTGAGGCCATGAAACCAAGACCAGGCCACAAGGATTATTGCAAAAGTACTATATTATATACATATCACTCCAGCCACACTCCACAAGGCAAGGACCAGAATTTGCTATTTTACATCATTTCAATAAAAACGTGACTATAAAAGCGTAAAGCATTTCATGGGCCTAGGTTTCCCACTGCAGGAGATGTGTACAGGGAGTGAACCCTCCCAATGCGGGGGATTGCTGAGTGATGGGGAAGATGCCTCATATGCCCTCCCCCCAATAAGTGGAATTGTGATCTTATGTTCCTTCCATGTCCCCTACCCCTCCAAGCCCCTGCTCACCCCAAAAAACAGGTCTAGCTCAGTAGGGACATGAATCCCCTATGCACAAGCATCAGAACACCTGTCATCATATGAGTAAACCAAGGGCCTCCAACACAAGGGGAGTGGAGTCTTTGAAATGCAGCACAGAAGGTGCAAAAGGTACATGGGTCTCGTTCTGTGGGGGAGGAGGGAGTAAGGAAGAATTAGAAAATGGGATCTGATTCTTAGTGCATATGGAGCTCCCAAGAGACCAACCAGCTCAGGTATGTCCTCCCCCTGAAGAAGAGAGAGGAAGACAGAAGACCAAATATTCCGTCTAGAAACTCCATAGTCAGCATATCCCATTCAAGGGGCAGCCATTTGTATAGCAGATAAGGTTCAAGGCACAAGACCCCCCAGTCTGTATGAGGCACTAACATTCCCCAAATTTGACTGAGGAGCCAAGTTTGCCAAAGCCTGAGAATTCTTCAGGGGAGAGGACAGTTCAGAAATAGAAGCCTCACCTGCTTCCTGCTCTCTCGGGACTTGGTTCCCATCATCCACCAAACTTTTATGAAGAATGCTTCCTGGCAGAGCAGAGGAAGGCCCGAGAGCCATTTCAAGGGGATGAGATTGATCTGCTTTTGCCCAGGGTGATTTTATTTATTCTCTGCTGCCTGTGGACTCTCCCTCTTCCCCCTCCCATGAATTTTCTGAGCCACCCCAGCTAACTAACTGTTTTGGTCTCCCTGCAAGAGACTTCAGTGCAACTGGAAGTTCTAGAGCAGAGAGGAGTCCATTTTACAGTTTAGCAAGAAATACTTTTCTAAATGGCTTTTACAAATGATTTACAGTCACTCTCCATTAATATTGACAGTAGCTGCACACTGCTCCCCTCCTCACCACCTCTGGAGCTAGTGAGTGCAGTCAGCTCAGAGAGGGGCTACTCTTTGCTTAGTCCAGGCGAAGCGAGTTTACGGGAGGGGGTGCTCAATTCAGGTCCTAGGGCAAATCACAACATTTGACATTGATGGCCCATAACAGCTGAGAGGACAACTTCCTTTCTGCCCCCTTAGAGGGTGTTACTTCAGGGCATGGTTTGCAGAGGGAGAAGCTTGCCCTCTGATCTGGGCTGTATCTGCTATATTGAAAGAGGCCTTTAGTCTCTGGGATTACCCACCTGACACCTTTCACCAGCACTAAACTCACGCAGAGGGTGAGAGGAGCCAACCACTGGGGTTAAGGGAAGGTTGGACGGAGCATCCCATCCCCCTCCACTCTAGGGTGACCAGATGTCCCGATTTTGGGGTCTTTTTCTTATATAGGCTCCTATTACCCCCACCCCCTGTCCCGATTTTTCACATTTGCTGTCTGGTCACCTTACTCCACTCCCAAAACCTCGCTCCCATCTGAGTTAGTGGCTTGAAGGAGAGTTAACCCCCCGCCCCCACAAAGACACCCCGTGACACTGACAGAGCGACCCTTTCCCGCTCCCAGGCGGTGGGTTGCACGCCCCTAAGTGGGGCCCGGGGCGGGGGGAGAAGCGGGGTGGTCACGTGACGCGGCGGTTACGCCAACGTTTTTTTCTACAACCAAAGTCCCGCTTTTCCTTTGGGCTTTTTTGTTGTGCTTCCACCTTGCCCCGCCCCCCGCCTAGCGTGACTGACGAACCCCGCCCCCCAGCGGTCTTCGAACCCCGCCCCCGCTTCTGTCTCGCAGCCAATGGCCTGCAAAGACGTTTTAAGAAAGTGAGCGAAGGCACCTGATTGGCCGGGCCAGCCCGCTCCCTATTTTGTTTAAAAAAAAAAAAGGCGGTGACTGTCGCTGATTGGCTCCGCGGGGCTACTTTAAGAGCCTGGTCGCGCATTGGCGGGCTAAGCAGAGGGGCTCGCGCCGTCTGGAGCTGCGTTGCTCCGTCCTCCCCATCGCTTCGTGTGCGAGCGGCCCGGCCACGCCTCTTTCCCCTCAGGTAGGCGCGGGCCCGCCCCGCCCCGCCGGGGGAGTGCGGCCGTTGGCGGGCCGGGCGAGCGGAGCGCGAGGCGCTGGGCCTCGGGGCGCTCCCTGGCGTGTGCTCCGGCTGTTGACCAGCCGGGCAGCCCCTTCCGGCCGCGCGCTGGTGAGCTGTGCCGGGGCTCCCGCTAGGGCGAGACCTAGCCGTGGGGTCCGAGCCCGGCGCGGGGCTGGAGGGACGTGTCCCGGCTCTGCCACGGGTCTATTTCTGCCGTGGAGCCCGTCCCCGGGGGCCGGACTTGGCTTCCCGCCGTGGGGCGTGTCCGCGGGAGGGCGGGGCTCCGTTCTGCGCTGCGGGGAGGTGGGCGCTTGTCCCCCCTCCCTGCCGTGGGGCGAGCTGGAGAAAGCCCGGGCTGCGTTTGGGTGGGGGCACGTGGCCTGGCTCAGGGGCTTGTAGCCCCGATCCCTCTGTCCGACTTGGCGGGAGCAGCAGCTGCTCTCCCTGCCCGGCCATCGCCCAGAAGGATGGGCCGCCTCGTCCCTCGGTGTCCCCAGTCTGCCCTGCTGCGTGGCTCGGTGTTGTGAACGGCTGTCTTGCTATGAGAGCCATAGAGCCCCCCTGGACCACTTCACATTGCTCCTGAGCAGAGCCTGTTAAATGGGTCCCTGAATGAGCCAGTGCTATAAATGTCTGTGGGTCTGAGATCCGTGACCTACAGACCAAAGACGCCACTCCTTGGACTCTCTGGCCCCTACGTGGTCCTAACAAATTGTGAATAATTCACAGGCACGGTGCTCAGCCTGCAATGAAACCTATCTTGTCCCTACAAACCCTATAGCCTTCAGGGGCAAAGGGTGTTTTACTGAAATCCACAGATAGTTGATTGGCAGGCCTATGAACGAGCCAGGGACTGTTTCTATAAGGGAACAAGCTTCATTTTTAAGCTATAACAGGCTTGTTTTGAAGAGTCTGGGGGGGAGGGGGGATGGTAGAGTGTAATCATGAAAAATTCATATTTGGATCTTTGTGAATTGCAGCTGCAGAGTGGCATAAATAAACCCCCTTCCCCTGGCAGTCACACACATGGATGCAGACTAGAGCAGTTCAAGTCATCCTGACAGATATGCCTGGACTTGTTGCTAGAGGGGACTATTTGAGTCACGGGAATCTGACCATTTTGTCTTGTCATAATCCTGGCACTGCAGTTGGGAAGACAGGCTGGCACCAGTGAGAAATATGGAGGGAGAAGCTAATTTTAGAGTGGCAAAGAGTGGGTGTCACAGGTGATCCCAAGAAAACTTCAGCATTCTAAAGATTATCATGAAATAAACAGCTGGGCCTGTTTGCAAAAATGACACTGGCATCCAAAAGCCCCAACTGTAAAATAGTAAAAATAGTGGTTACAGCTTTTCAGTTCTTTAATAACAATGTTCATTATTGCCATGTCAATAGTTCATGCTAACCCTCTCCCTGAGAACTAGTGAAATTGACCATCAACCCTTCCAAATCCAAAGTTCCCTAGTATGGAGGAGAGCAGGCAGAGAGGCATGTTTGCTAAAGGGGACGACTCTGCTGTTGGCTCTTAACTTTTACTGCCAGAAAGGGAAGTGAAATACCAGTGCATCCATAATTTCAGAGGCTTGATTTCTGAGAAGTGATGCAGCAAGTGGGCCTTTCATAGTGGGGCAGATGCAGAGACCTGGTTCTCCTAGGAAGCAATTGAGTATTTGCTATGGCTCAGTTTGTTACTTTGGGGTGCTGAGAAGCACTGTAATCCTCTGTCTATTTACCCACACTATAGCTGGGCGTGACCCTTCATAGGCCAGCAGAGAGGGAGCCTTTGCTCCAGGAGCCTCTAATTTACCCTCAAGCATCTTTGTTTAATAATCAGTACAGTGTGGTCAGAAGCAGCTTGGACAAGTAAAAATACCCCGGGACTAGGAGACAAGAAATCAGTTCTTCTCTTGGCACAGACACCTGCTCTCCAACAGCCTTGGCCAAGTCACTTCACTCTCTGCCTCAGTTTCTCTCTGCATCATGGAGATGTACTTTCTTGATCTTAATTCCTACTTTTCTCTTTTGTATTTCTTGCAGATTGGACAGAGAATCTCTGTGGAGGCCTTTGCCTTGCAGGTTGCTACTGCTGTGGTTAGGGTTGCACACCTAAAGGTGAAGGTTGGTGGGTTTGAAAATCCAAGGAAATGTTAGTATGTTATTGGGTTTTAAGATTTTGACAGATTTTTACAAAAATCTTGTACTTGATAAGAGTAACAGAGCTGTGAAAAACAAGCTCATGAATCCAGTTCCTGCTGGTCTGTGAGTCCTGGGTTTGGTCCGAGTCCTTGGGCACCTTTCACTGCCTTCTGGCCTGTTCCTCTTGCTGCTGGTAGTGGAAAGGGCTGGCCTCTCCTGCTTGGAGAAGCACCCCTTATAAAACAGTGCTGCAAGATAAGAAGAGGTCTAGATTCGAGCTCCCCGCGCCCCTCAGATTGTGTAGAGGCCCATTCAGTCAATGGCTCTACCAGTAGAAATCCCATTGTTCCAGTAGGAAAGAGTCATTCAGTGTTGATGTCCCTTGATTACTCTCAACTTCTCAGTTTGTCCACTAACTGTTAAGGCTGTGCTACAAAATGGGTGTTCTCATGAGCTGTATTGATGTGAAGTTTTCAATCACAAAAGGGGTTCACAAAACAATGGGATTCACAATGACTCAGACATCTCCCTAAACTTTCACATTAGGTATTGTTTTCACCCCTCAGCTCAGAGAGCATCCCCTCCCATCCATCACTGCTCCAGCTCCCATGGGACAGCCCTAGCTGATACCTACTCCTTCCCTGAACCCTCTCTGGGTCAGCTCCAGTTCAGTTCTGGGCTGGCTTCATTGGGTCAGAACCATGCATACTGTGGAGTTGTAGGCCCCAAGAACCAGCTCGCTGGAGAGAGGTCAGACATCACACAGCCTTAAAAAAGAGGGATAAAGGGAGGGGTCAGGCATTGATGCACTTGCATGATCCTTACATCCTGGAAAACACTACAGCCTGGGAAAGAGGCTTGCATAGGGACAGCACAGAAGTGTCATAACAGCCTAATATGGAGATACAGACACATTCTTGCAGAGGGCTGCAGGGTGTCCTGCCTACATGGGGAGAGAAGGGATGTGTAACCCACCTGAAGCCTCAAGCATAGCAGCTCTTGCCAGAGCCAGGAAACTGATCTGGTCTAGGAATGTACATTCACCTTTCTCTTGTGCCCACACAGCGTGACCCCTGACACTGAACAATGGGGAGACCCAGGAAAAACCCTGACAGCACAGCCTCACCTCGTCAGGCTGCAACTGTGCCCAAAGCCACCCCAGCAGCACCCCGTTCCTCTGCCTCCTCTACCCAGGCCAAGACAACACCCACAGCCAGCCGACCTAAGAGTGCTCAGGCTGCTGGGAGTTCAGGCACCAGCAGGGCACAGACAGACAAGCCAACCAGCAGCACCACTGCCAGAAGAGCCGGGCAAAGCTCTTCCCAATCAAGGGCCACTGCAACACATGGCAGTGATCAAGGAGACCCCAAGATAAGCTACAGAGTGACAGCTAAGAACCCCACAGTAACTAGTGGAGGGAAACCTTGCTCCACAACAGCTAAAGCAACTGCCGGTGCCGACCCCTGCCTGGGAGGGAGTCAATCCAGCCGCTCTCGAGCCAATACCACTGACCAGGGCAAAGCAAGCAAATTTCCCTCCCTGTTGACAAGAGAAGATGTGGTGAAAGTGGAGAGGGAAACCCGGGGCCAGAGGGACAATCCCAAGTGGGATGAGTGGCGGGAAAACCGCATCACAGCCTCAGTCGCACCCAGGATCGCTAACAGCAAGTTTGTCAATGGCAAGAGCTCAGAGGTGCCCCAGTCTTATCTCAAGGCTGTGGTGAGCTCCGGGTCCAAAATGCAGACACCAGCCATGTCCTGGGGCACCCGAAATGAGAAAAAGGCAGTGCAGGCATATGAGGAGCTCCAGTCCAGGAGGACAGGTAAGCCTGTGAAGGTGGAGGAGTGTGGCCTCTTCATTCACCCAGGGAAGGAGTGGCTCGCAGCCAGCCCAGATGGAATTGTCAGA